TTAATATCATAATTTTATTTATATAATATTTTTATGAATATCATATTTTTATTACTTCCTTTATTACCCCTGAGCTCACGGATAATTTATTGGGGCCATAAATCACTCGGTTTGCCATAAGGGGTATAATATCACTCTCTCTCAGACTTAAGAGTCACTACCCCCATTCATTTCCCCCACATCATATTCACTGGTTGCCCACAAGTGCTCCGAGATATCCAGCAGTTCTGGAGAGTCTGGGTTCCACCTGCTAAATACAGAGAGAATTTTTTTTTTGTTAGCAGCTGCACAGTTCACAAAACACTAATGTTTAGTGTCAGATGCTTACTAAACACCTCATTGCAATGTTTCATCACTGGAATGTGAGTTTCTTCCCCAGGTCTGTACTGTTGCACTCAGTTTAGTCACAGACCCAATCATGTTATTTAGCTTTTAAAATAAAAAACATGTGAGATGCTGTCACGTATTTGACTTGACAAAGCAAGTTTGTTCCCATGAAATCAGGTGTGTGTTTATGTCTAGGTGCAAGCTTCACATACATCAGAAACAGGAAACACATTTAACCCTTTGCAACATTCTACTCACTTGTGTTACAATCAAATGATCTAATAACAATCAACTAATTTACATATCAATTCTCATCCCACTAAGTTGACAGGACAAGATGATAATAGCTGGTCTGCAATCTTTAATCAGTCCCACATCATATTTAGACTTGACAGGCCATCAGGCACCTCTGCGAGCAGTGGATAAGAGGAGTCTGCACGGGGTGGCCTGCACTAAATAAGGATCAACAGTGGGATCCACCAGTTCAACTGAGTGAACATAGTGAACAGTATAACAATAGACATAACTGTTTTATAAGCATTCAATTTTTAGGGAGAACAACACTTTTGGGTCCTCCCTGACCTGCCAATCGCAAGATCTGTTACAATTGTGTACAGATCTGCCCAGGTCTTCCCACCTGTAGTCAGTGGACCTAGCAGGGGAAATGTGTGGGGTGGATGCATCCATTATAAACAACCTTTTGTTCTTTAGTGAGTGAAATCGCAAGCGCAGCAAATGTAAAGCTCTAAAATAAGCATTTCACTGTTAGTTTATCATTTTCAACTCTGTACCACTCCTTCTCATGTCTCACATCAGGGCCCTGCGAAGCACAGTGAGAAGTGCAGTGCAGGCTGTCAGCAGCCAAAACAGGCATCTGGAGGCATGCAGTCACGTGCTGTTTATAAAAAAAAAAAAAAAAAAAAAAAAAAAAAAAAAAAACTTTCAGTGAGTGGCCCTGCCCCCAGCTTCCATGCATACACGAAGGCAGGGGTCACAGGGCTGTATTTAACCATTGCATAGTCACATTCTGACTGTGTGATTGTAATGCCATCATGGCAGGAGATCAAATTTATGTTTAATTTACACATTAAGTAAATTTACTGGACATGAGTCTGACCATGGAAAACTGTGTTTTAACTTTTGGCCCTGTCCATCAATACAGAACAGGGGGATGGTGAAATTTTCCCTTTGAACATGCCCTGTTGCAGAGACAGAGTGGGAGTACCTTCTAACGTTGGCTGGAATTTCAGGGAGGGTGAGAACATAACACAGAGTGGCTCCGGAGTCTACAAGAAATTCCACCTTCTCACCACACACAGACATTCCATGCATAGGCAGAGATTTATAAGCTTAAATGTACATATGTGCCCTTTGGATTGCATGAAATGCGTTCAATGTGTGTGTGTGGAGCATTTTGCGTATCAGCATGAGTACTTGTTAGCAAAGCATTCTTCATTGCATCAGCATGTGTGTGTGTGTGTGCGCATCACTTCATCCTGAGTCAGTGTGTGTGTGTGTTCGTGTTTTTGCATCACTTCCCTGTTCTGATGTCTTGGGCAAACCACGGCCTGAAGCGCCCCCTGGGGTCCTGCCCTCCTCCTTTCAGTTTGCTTACGACCACTGCTGCTGCTGGTCACTGCACTGTCCACCCTGGTTCTGACCCAGATTGGGGCAGTCCTTTCTCCAGTGTCCATTCTGGATGCAGGTGAAACATGCATCTTGATCTGCGTTTTGTCTCTTGTGCAGTGGCTTTTGACCTCGATTGCTCCTTCTGCTCCTGCCACGCCACCCCGTGCTGGTTTGCCACGGCCTTGTATAGTGTTAATGCAGCGTTGCAGAGGTCAGCATTCTGATGCTCTGCCTCTCTTTTGGGCTTGACGTCACAGCTCTTTCAGCTGAGGCCTGTCTGGGGATCTCCTCCCGTGTAGTGAGAGGAGGCCTTGGGTTCAGCGCCCTCCGTCTCCGCTGGGTGAGGTGCCCCTCCTGCAGCTCTGTTGTGGTTTTCGGGTTGTTGTGGTGGGTCCAGCTGCTGCAGCGGTGGGTCAGGGTCACGTCAAAGGGGGTCGAGGGGAGAGCAGGAGTCCAGGTCAGCTTCGGCTTTCTGTGATGGGGCATGAGCACAGAAAAAAAGGGTAGAGGTGCGTGAACAGGAAAATGATGTGTTGTGTGCTGTGTTATACAGAGGCGGGAGGGGCGCTGACACGGGTTCTGTGTCAGCTTTCTCCCTCTCTCCTCCTTTCTCACCTTTTTTTTTCAAAACTGCATTTGTAGGTTAATACACTCTCTGCTTATTTGTGTGTGCGCATTGTTTCACCTTGCTGTTTTTTAATGGTGACGTGGGCAAACCACAGCCTACAGCTCAATCCAGAGTCCCTTCCTCCCTTCCACCTTCAGTCCTTTGGCTAGGGGTTTGTGATGAGGACAGTCTCTCCTAAAATGTCCCTCCTTTCCACAGCTGTAGCACTTTCCTCGGCCACCTTCAGGCACCCACACCCTGGCCCTGACCCCACCTCGCCGTCCTCTGCCTCTTCCCCTCCTCTCTCGTTGGCCTGTGCTTCCTCTCAGCACGTGGTGGGGGTCAGCACTTTGTTTTCCCTTTTTTTGTTTTCTTTGCGCCTCCCCTCTCTGGCTGTAAAATCTATTGGCATCAGCTGGTTCACCTCTGCGCTGTTTGCAGGCGTATAAAGCTGGCCAGAGACGGTTGTTCAGCATTTTCATGGCATATGTGTTCTCCTCCTTGGGGTGAGGTTGAGGTGGGGGTCTTTGGTGGTTACACAACAGCAGTTGGTCTTGTTTTTGGAGGGACCACGCTCAGTTCTGGAGCTGTTATTCTTGCCGCGGTGGTTTTGGTCGCCGGGGAGGACGGGACTCCAGATCGGAGTGCCTATCATTGCTGCTTCTGCAAAATGACATTAAAAAAACAAGGTAGTGAATCATGGCTTGTATGTGTGTGTAGTGGAGCTGCAGACTTAACAGGGCCTGTCTCCTATCCATTTCCTTTTTCTCCCCAAAAAGGCATTTCCTTAAAAGCTCCTTTTCTCTCGCGTCTCTCTGCTTCCTCCATAACACATCTCTTTTCATCATTCATCCTTAGCACACCAGCCAATTTAGCCCCTTTCTTTGTCAACATTTCTTTTTCTTTCTCACAACTTACTTCATGCCTTCTACATTTTATTTATCATCGAGTCAAAGATTGAGTTCTTTCCTTGGCCACCTGGTGGAGCGTGTGTGACAGTCCGCGCCCCGGCCCTTAACTCAGCTGTGCCGACTGTCTCGGAGGATCCGGATCCCATGTTACTGGCTTAAGCGTCCTTAGCGAGGCTAGGCCTAGAACTTCCCCGTGAAATATCACGGAGGAGCACCCCGTCTCACCCATCCTTGGGCCTGGCCAAACAGAGAACTTAAGTGACTTATATATAATAATAATAATGGATTGGATTTATATAGCGCTTTTCAAGGCACCCAAAGCGCTTTACAATACCACTATTCATTCACTCTCACATTCATACACTGGTGGAGGCAGCTACAGTTGTAGCCACAGCTGCCCTGGGGCAGACTGACAGAAGCGAGGCTGCCATATCGCGCCATCGGCCCCTCTGGCCAACACCAGTAGGCAAGTAGGGTAAAGTGTCTTGCCCAGGGACACAACGACCAGGACAGAGAGCCCAGGGATCGAACCGGCGACCTTCCGGTTACAGATGCGATTCCCAACCCCCTGAGCCACGGTTGCCCCGTGTACACAAAATATACACAAAATACTATAGGCTGGACACAGCTCACCGGTGCAGATTCACCGGTCGCTGAGGACTCGCCCCACAGCTCCCCCTTTTTGAAGCTTTGGTGGGACCGAGGATTGACTCTTTCCCTCGGCGTGATCAGCCGTCTTTGGGGTCGTTCCTCAGCGCCCACACTCGGAGCATCCTGTTCATGATGCCAAGCTTGTTGTGGAATTTTGTAAATAAAGTCTGCAACACGGAAAGAGCTGTGGTCAAACTATTTATTACTGCGCGCAGGAGAGCCAACACACACATCAAACATTACAGTTCACAGTCATCCCAGCTCTGCCCCTGGGACGTCTCAGCTTCTCTTTTATACCCCCCCCACACACACACACACACAACTCTCTGTATCTTTTAGTTACAACAGGTTTCTGTCCCACGGGCTGTTGCTGGGCAGATAGCAACTCCCACTGTCTTTTCCCAGGAAGCTCCTGGCACCTGTCATCTTGGGAGTTTCATCCTTCTACGCCCTAACAGTTAGCAGATAACATAGTGAAACATCATTAAGCAAAGCTAAGCAGTTTTTTTACGAGGTCATACTGACACACACACACACACTTTATCTAAGCATACAAAAAGGTTATACCAAATCCTACAGTGAGATTCTAAACACATAAATCCAAATGTGAGGATAAGCTAGAATTTTTCCATAACCCCAAGAAAATCAAAGGTGAGCAAAGTCTGCCATCATCTCCACTGAATATTGTTCAACATGTTTATCTGCTCTTAAAATGTAAATCTGTTTATTTTACAGTTTATATTTATGTATGCGTAAGTACTCATTACATGGTTAATAAAATCGATCATACTTTTTATCTTTGCATCAGTGGAGACATCCAGTTTCCTCCTGGTTAATGATATTATTGTTCTCAATGATCTTCTCTTCATTCACAGGAAAATCAAGTCCTGCAGCTGATGCAGCAGTTTATTCTGAAGTCACATCAGGAAGCTCTCTCAGTAATTCTGCTGCCATGCAGGCTGATTTATTCTTCACATTATTAAATGTCTTCAGCTCATAATATCTTTACATGTTGGAAATCACTTTGTCTTTTTGTGCTTGTCTTACAGGTCAGTGAGGAGAGCTGTAGCAGCAAAGCCAAGAAGAAGCTTTTTATGAAGCCACTCTTGCTCCTCTGCTGCCCAAATATCAGACATGCTCAGCTTTATGTACAGTTACAATATTAAATCATAATATCAGACATACTGCTCTCTTTTAGTATCAAACAAATAGAGGTGTATTAGGTATTAATATTCATGCTCTTTATATTCAGTTTTTTCATAAAGATTTTGTAATAAACCTTGAATGTATCTAACATGTTCCAACAGCAGTGAGAACAAAGTGTGAAATATGTGATCTTTAGTATCTGACAGCACAACTTAAAGTCAGTGTTTGCAGTGTTTCACAAGCAAATACTGATATGGGCAACAACAAATACTTTAACTGTGTTTGTCCAAAGATCTCGTACATTATATAAATAAGAATTATATCATAGGCAGTGAATGCATTTGAATGTATTTCATGTATATTTTTGTGTTTCTGATCATTAATAAGGTAGAAATAAAATCTTTTTACATTGAAACATTTTGTTTGATTTTAGTTACCTGTATGAGATTATCCACAAACTAATAACACAACCACTTAAACAATTTGTATCAACATTGTCATGGAAACCTGAAATAAACAGATGTGAGTATTATCTGCAAAGCGGTCACTAACAGTACAGAGCATGACATCAGTCTGCATGTATCTGACACAGACGACTGTGAAGTAGAACATTTACAGAGAGAAGCTCTCTGTGTGCTGTTGTCACAGGATGCAGTTAAAGGAAAAGATAACTTGTACATGTGATAAATCTCATATGAAAGATTGCACAGAGACAGAATATTACAGACTACTAAAGTTCTGCATTGAACATGGTCAGAATGCCCTTGTCTTATAATGAAGGTGAACAACTACAACTACACTGCTTTCTAAAATTTCTAAATAAAATGTCATTTCACCTGAAACACACAGCATAGTTCAAACCTATCAATAACAGGTACCAGGCTCCCACCTGGTGGCATTACCTGAATATGACAGCCACTTACTGTTTTGTTTAAATATAGCCTCTCTGTGCTTCATTCCTTTTAAAATTCAGCTATGACAGCTACAAACTACTGTCAGCTGCCCACTGCAAATATATTAACTTGCTATCTGCTCTATAATCCACAGTTCCTGTCCTATGTTATGTGGGTATGTACATAAATATAGTATGAAGGCTTGCACAATGCAGTTCATCCTTTATGTCTCTATATAACCAACTATGTTATGAATGCATAGATATATATTTTCAGATGAAATATATTTTGCTAAGCAGGCTGAAGACAGATGGAAATGTGTATGAAATAAATTGATTTCAGTGAGTATTCATCACAAGACAGAGTCACACTTCTCACAGGAGCAAAGGATGCAGGCCCTAAATCAAACACACACAATATCAGTGATATGTTGTTTTGGAAAACAAGTGTGTAAAACAAGTTGCAGCAACAAAACAGACATCGTTTACAAACAGTGGGACATCGGCTGATCAGTATCAGTGTGCAAACTCAGAGATGGGTGAAGGGTTGCTGAAACCTCTCAAACAGCACATGAGATTTCACATTCAGATATGTACAGCAGGAGAGTTTCAGGTCTGCTGTGTGTGCAAATGTGGGCTGACATCGAGATTAGCTACAGGAGGCCTGAGGTTAGCTTTGTGGCCTGTCTGATCAGCACTGCTTATTTTTTATCTTAGGTTTTAAACTGAAAGCATGTTTGTTTCTTCTATCATTCAACACTGAACTAGTTTGAACACATTTATTATTTATTCTTGTTCTGATGTTGTGTTGCTACGCATAGTGAAAAGATGTTTTCAGAATCAGAATACTTTATTAATCTTTAAGGAAATCATGTGGTTACAGTTTCTCCAAGACAATAAGAACAGTAACAGACTGAACAAAATTAAATAAAACAATATTACATAGTTTAAAAATATAAGAAATACCTCTAATATATACAAATAGCTCTAATATAAATATCCAGAATATTACAGAGATTAAATATATGTGATTGACATTTTACTCTAAACTGTGAAACATTTTATTATTTTTACTGTAGAGGATGTGGAATGTGTGTAACTATTGGACTGCATACTGTGCATTAGATGGAGGAGTTGTAAGGGAAGAGCCACAGGCAGGAATGATTTCCTGTGTCATTCAGTGGTGCATTTGGGTAATCTCAGTCTTCTCTGAATGTGCTCCCGTGACTGGTCATCACGTCATGGAGTGGGTGGGAGGTAGTGTCCAGACTTACCCTAACCCTAACCCTCGACAACTTAAGCCAATCCAACGCCACCTTAAGGGGGTTGAGCTCCACAACATTAAAGGCTTTGTAGATCAATTTACTGAGTCTAGTTTCGCTAAGGCCTCCTAGTGGTCACAGGTTTCCTCTTCACAATAGGCACATAGCAGGGGGTGGGGTGAATCAGGTTATTATCTGACATAGCCAGTGGGGGAAGGGAGGAGGAACTATATGCATCCTTGACATTAGCAAACAATAGATCTAACATTCTCTCCCCTCTGGTGGGACAGACCGCATACTGTGTGAAAGTTGGCTTTGTAGTGTCGAAGGTGACATGGTTGAAGTCACCAGAGATAGCAAGGAAGGCACTCGGGTGCCGAGTCTGATGTGGAGGCATGTAAGGATCACACAAGAGATCTCAATATTTTACTCCAACTTCTATTTTGGCTTTACACAACTGAACACAGAAGGCGCGAAAAAAGCTTACCACTTTACTTTCCTTCAAACTGGGTGTGAGTGGAGACACCTAGTGGTCCATCACACTCTAACCGGACTATAGCAAAGTCGATAATGTCACATGCAGCTGTCGGGTTAGCAGAGGGAGGAACGCAAACAGCCACCAAGATAACATGGGTAAATTCCCTGTGCAAGTAATACAGCCTGATTCCAACAGCACAGAGTTCAGTGTCTGAGAAACAAATCAGCTCTTTGATTGTTATGTGAGCAGGGCTGCACCACTAGTTATTAACAAGAATGGCAAGATCTCCTCCTTTCCGCTTACTGCTCACGGCACTGTACCTGTCTGCCCAAACAATGTGGAAGTCTTCCATAGATGCATTGTCATTGGGAATATCCTGGTGCCATGATTCAGTGTAGCACATCAAGCTACACTCCCAATATTCCCTCTGAATATTGTAGTGCTGATAACTTGTTCATCTTGTTTGATAACGACCGAACATTCCCAACTATAATAGATGGCAGACACTGTTTGTACCTTCTTCTTTCTTTAGGCCTTCCCTGTCTCGCTGTCTTCCTCCTTCTCCTATTCTGTCCTCCACCTCTGCATCCAAGTTGTGTTTTTCTACAGATTTCAGCTGCAATGTCTGGGTCTTGCCGACAACCCAACTGGCATCACGGTAATCAGCTGATCTCTAGAGTTATTATTTATATTATTAATAATAACTGGCTACAAAAATATTATTATTATTATTGCTGAATAGTTTAGACACATGAGAAAAGACTCTTGTTACATATTATTGCCCTTTTAGGTTTGTAAGTTTTACTTTTTTTTTCAAGA